GTAGGATGACAAGTGCAATAACGCGAAATAGACGAGCGATGAATGTATTTCTGTAGCAGTGTGATGATGTTGATGATGTGTAGAGCTACATTGTTCAAGACACCTACATAACGATTGTAACTCCCACAAGGTAACATCGAGGTAGCTACTCTACAGTAATCTTAACCCAATATCTTAGGAACCGATCCAGAAATTGTCTGTAACTCAAGATAGTCTCTTAACACGCCCTCACTCTACCACGAGAGAGAGAAAAAACTATTCCATTTCCAATAATCTTAAATTTTCAACGTTGATCCGTGAAATAATACACTGTAACAGAGGACAGACTTGACCTATCGTACCATCTTAATTTACCAGTTAGTTCCTGATTGGCCATGGATATATAGGACCCACACCTCTTATATAAAAAATAACCCCCGTCTAGAATCACCACTATAGGTCATACCACCCCTGAGTTATTGGAGGTATAAAAAAGTGTATTGATTAAGGTTGAGCCATTTGGGATTCGGTTTTAATAATCTAAAATTAATAACAATCGAATTTATCAAAGGTGAGGTTTGGTTAGGTTAGGTTAGGTTAGGTTAGGTTACCTTTTATATGAGGCGAGGCTTCAACTCCAAACCCCGAACAATGGCTGGGAGAGTCATGATAGTCAGTTGGTATCGAACACTTTTTACAAAGGAATATTGGAGTAACGTTTGGTGTGTACAACGCATATGTGATTCTTGTACCAGCTGGTCGGCTTCTGGGCCTTTTTATACCCTAGTTCCTGCGTCCAAACTGTGAATTTGGTGATGATGAAAGACGATTCTCGTTATGCTAATTCAACTTACAAACAAAAAGTCATAAACAAAATAATAATGTGTGGTAAACTTTATGAATAATGCAAATTCACAATGAGATTAACTTAATAAATTGAGAATAAAACTAAAAGTGACTGTGGGCAGCTGTAACAAGATCAAAAGAAAGTCAAAGTTGTAACACAAGAGGACTAAAAGAGAGAGAGCTATAGGATCTACTCATGGAGACTAACTGGGTGTGTTGATGTTGGCAGAACACGTCTGTACGATACACTCAAGGGAAAAAAATATAGCAGGAAGAAAGTCACAGGAAAAAGTAAGTCACCTAACCTAACCTTAAATATGACTATTTTTCTGTAACTTTTTCCTAGTAACTTTTTAGCGGTCACTAAAATAAATACGCAGAAAACGAACCTAACCTAACCAGTACTGAACAGAAAGTAAGATTGAGAGGATTGAAGGAGGAACAGTGTAATAATGAGGAGCAGCTCAGTGTGGGGAGTAGACTTGGCAGAGAGACTCCCAGCAACGTGTCTGTAACATTAATGAAGTGAAACCATCAACACAAAACGACAACATTACAACGAAAGATTTTTACCTCAACACATTATAGATTTTATTGATTTTATACTGAAATTAGATGAGTTAGATTGTCGTGATAGGCAGGTAAAAACTCCCGTGAATATAGTAAAGAATAGAACCATAGTTAGGGATCATGAAGAGAGTTACTGAAGACCAGTGCCGTAGTGGAAGTGTTGACAGGTTATAGTTGAGAGGTGTTACGGCGTTGAAACAAACAAGTTCATTCACCCCAAACTGTAAATTACATCATACAATTGACATCAACAGTTGAATATAATAGAATAGTTTGGATTTTTGAGACGTTAATGTGATGTACTTAGATGTGTGATGTCATAAGAGGAACATTACTGAACACGACAATATTTGGCAACATAACTTAACCAGCGTTCATTATGTTCTTTTTATTTGTAGTCAGATGAGTTTCATAGGTCGATATGAATAGATTGTAGTGTTAATAGAGAATTTGAGGGAGCAGAGATAGCGGTGTGAACTCTCCCGTCTAAGATCAGCTGAGGCAGGTCGATGGTCGCTAATCCAGACCCTAACTACTGATAGAAGGAAGTCTCCCCCCCCATCCAATGAGAAGCAGTGTGGTAGTCATTAAGAAAGGCTCAGGTTGTGGTCACGATAAACTAAACCATTTGATAAAGATAAGTTGTCATATGAGTGAGCTCGTATATTTCAAAGTGGTTGTAAACAAATAAGGTGACGCCAGTATATATAAATGCTGTTGTCCAGTCAGCATATCGAGGTCTTATTTCATAGTAAGTTTTCAGTGGTATTTACTTCCTGGATTATAAACGTAATTATGCTTACACTAATTACATACTAAATTAATAAAAAAAATAACTGCAATCATTTGGAGAGTGTGATTGCATGGAGAGATTAATAAACTCCTAATAATTAAAAGTACAAAATATCAAACCATAGATACAGTTTATCCCACTTTTTCCAGATAAGTAAGAAAACAGACTAAACTTGACTAAATATTTAACTGCTGGTGACTAGAGGAGGTCCTGGATTTGTGCCCTTAAAGACCTTAGATGTTGAAGTGTATATACATTATAACATCTCGGGGAAACTAATGAGTGAAACCGCAGAAGGTGGTCTACCGTGGAGGCTGGTGGAGTCGTCAGGAAGGGGGGTGGGGTGGAGGAGGATAAAAGTCTTCCCCATAAAAAAAGTGGTGAAGCTTTTTCAAGGAGGTGGTCTTGTAATTAGATTCAATTGTCATTAAATGCAAATGCGGCAGTATTGTGGTTTATTTACCAGCCTGGCGGGTTTATTATCTGTTATTCTTATAAAAGTTTCCTTACTAATATATCAAGTGGAAAAAAAATATATAAATATATATTGCTTGAATGCTTGAAATTAGAAATAAATTTAAAGCCAATATTTGCCCATGCAACTGGAAATTGGGTTATGAAAACCAGATGAGTGAACACAGGAAATTAGTCTGAATTATTAATATGAAACGTATGAATTTTTGAACCATGTGTGTCATATATGTCGACCGTCAAAAGATGTGACGATTAGGAAAATCAAATGTCCGAACAGTAAAGGATATATTACTTCAAGAGACGAAAGATGATACACGAAATATTAAAGATGTTTCTGAAATATTAAGGGACAAATGGAGAAAAAAATGGTACCTCGGCAGTTTTTGTGTGAATAAAAACATCGTAGAACTCAGAAATAAAGTAAATTTGGCTGCTAACATGAATGTACATGCTGTTTCAAATCAACATCTCATTAGTGTGAATACTTCATCAACTTTATTCAAATACTGAAATAAATTTACACTTGGGAGCAATGACCATAAATAAACATATGACAAATTATACAAAGAAAAAGGAAAATAGGCTAAAGAGAGGCATTAATAACAAGAGTTTATAGCTGACAGAGATAAAAAGAGCAATTAATAGAGGAGTTGAGCAGCGCCCTGGCAGATAAATCAGGCACCGCGCCACCTCCTCGCCGTCTCGTCCTGTAATTGAAGCTACCAAGAGCAGGGGGAAAAAAAAGTGTAATTTAGCCCAGCTGTGTTGATATCAGAGGACCAGGAAGCGTGAGGACGGACACTGGCCAGTAGGAGGGAGGTCTTAATGGCTTTTCTCGTCTGCGATGATACGGCGCTGTTCTCTCTCCTACGTGGGTGCTGTTGATTAGTGGCTGCGATGGTCCGGGCGAAGTTGAGGAGGAGGTTATAGAGGCAACTATACTCGTATCGCACATAAGACTTGTTGTTGTCTGTTCTGGAGGTGAGACAGCCACAAGTATTAAGGTGACGGACGGACGGAGGGAGGGAGGGAGGGAGGGAGGGAGAAGGAAAGGGGGTAGAGGAGTAACGTTACTTCACGGTGGCATAAAAGATTCTTGTTATTTAGGTTAAGAGAGAGAGAGAGAGAGTGAGAGCTGGTGTAGTCTATATAGCAGTGTTCCGTGTTCGCTCATTATACTGCCGCTACACACGACAACAGCTTACACGTGAATATTTTGGTATGGTGAGATTAGTGTGTTGTGTGATGGAGAGGTTTTCTTTATTTTGATCTCTGTATCTTTTATTTTCTTGAATTATAACACGAGTCGTACCTCCACGAGTCATACCTCTACATGAAGTAAGTATCTTATTGTGTAGTGGAACATCTTCTTCAACACTTCCTTTACGAGGGACATTGATAATAATCCCAGATTTTCTAGACCATCACTGAGCTTCACCCAACTATTATTGTCTCAGAGATTTCATAATATCACTGTGGCCGCATCCAATTCTAAATCCCGCCCCTCTCTCTCTCTCTCTCTCTTTTCCTCTCTCTCTCTCTCTCTCTTTCTCTCTCTCTCTTTCCCTCTCTCCCCCCCTCTCTCGTTGCTTCCCTGATCGAGGTGATGTGTTATTTGTGGTTTCCTCCTCCTTTGTCCTCTCCTTATTCACTGCGCACGTCATTCACTCGCTCGGTAATCGTGGCCTAAATGTTGGTACAGACGGCGTAAGAGTTGACCTTGTGTCGTTTATTTTGCTTTTTGTTTTGTTTAGATTTTGTTAGAGGCACCGAGGATGAAAACAGGAGATACCTATTTTAGTGAATATACTGCTATTATTATTATTATTATTATTATTATTATTATTATACTTCATCCCTCTTCCACGGTGTTTCTGTTCTGCATTACTTAATAATTGTCTTACCTAAATTGTTGTCTAATTTTCAGTTCGTGTTTTTCTTTTCACTTTTGGCTGGTAATTTTGTTGTTTCACTTCACGTTGTTCTAAACTCTCTCTCTCTCATGCCTGATTATTCTTTATTCCTCCAATTATCATTTACAGAAGTAATTAACAATAATGCCCCCATTGTTCTTACTCTTAAAGCTAACTCACTCGTCCATATAAACCCATTCGTTTAAGCTTCTTACGAGATTAAATATCGGTCTATAATAGCTATCTACTTTTGTCTTATAGATCTATTATCCTCTTATAAGAGCCTGTCAGTACTCTTCCGCAAGGTTCTTATTTGTTAAAGAACAGGTCAAGTAATTCAGGTAACATTGTGTGTTGATTTTAGTTTGGCAAAGTAATGATGATGACCACTTCTAACATTGTAATATTTTTCCTTCTCTTTTCAGATTATGGATTTCTGACACCCACTGCTCACGAGGAAAGTGTTGAAGTCTTTGTTTTGAGCTGAGGTGATAACGACTGAAGTTATCGGTCTGACGGCTTGGCAAGGTCTTGGCGTGACGGCTTGGCAAGGTCTTGACGTGACGGCTTGGCAAGGTCTTGACGTGACGGCTTGGCAAGGTCTTGACGTGACGGCTTGGCAAGGTCTTGACGTGACGGCTTGGCAAGGTCTTGACGTGACGGCTGGGCAAGGTCTTGACGTGACGGCTGGGCAAGGTCTTGACGTGACGGCTGGGCAAGGTCTTGACGTGACGGCTGGGCAAGGTCTTGACGTGACGGCTGGGCAAGGTCTTGACGTGACGGCTGGGCAAGGTCTTGACGTGACGGCTGGGCAAGGTCTTGACGTGACGGCTTGCCAAGATCTTTGGTGCTCCAAGCTCCTATGCCAGTGAGCTTAACTCAACATCACCAGAAAAAAATAAACTAAACTAAACTGAAAAATTGTTGCAAAGACCCACGATTAATAATCTATCAGTAAACCATTGTGCACGATCTTAGCTGAGTTAATTCATCTTAAATTGGTTTCATTGTTGTAAATTAACGTTGATAAAATCTGCTCCCAACGGTGATTGTTCCACCATCAATACTTTTGGACTTGACAAAAGACGAAGAACAGTGTTGTTTTGTGCTTGGATTTTCATGAAAGTTTATATTTAAATACCGAGATTAATTAGTTTTAAACCATAAAGACAGCGAACATAATAGTGCCCATAGTGAGATACTGAACGAGCTATAAGACACAAAAGGGAAACAAAAATAAGTGAAATAGTTCTTAGGTGGAACGTTTCAAGTGTTTGTTCAAAACCCTGATAATAAAAGTGAAAGAAACGAGATAGAAGTGTGGTAAAGACAGGAGAGGAAGGAAGGTAGCCAGTCCGCTCCAACAGTGTTCATTACCCGGAGTGCTTGCTTTGGTCAAGGTATGGTCCAGCTTCTATATAGATGATCACTACCACCACCACTACTGCCACCACTTCTGCCACCGCCATTACTACCATGAAGCTCCTCACGTCCCTTACCTCTACCCAGGCAGTCCCGGCGCTGCTGCTGTTCCTCTCGGCTCTCTTAGGTAAGTCCAATACAGATAAAGGAATTTAGTCTAGAGCGGATTTAGTGGTGGTGAGAGTTTGCTGATCCAGTTTTACTCACCTTGTCAACAATGGAATTTATTCGCTGGAGAGGAAATTATTCTGTTTATTTTACACTTATATCAATAGGTGTAATATATATATTTATCAAGGTGAGTTATAGGGATATACTCTGTTAGTTTGGTATTTTTCTTGTGGATGACTCGATGTTATTGCATTTTTATTTTTATATCTCAAAAAACACACACACACACACACACACACACACACTTACTTGTTTTTCTTCTCATTTATCTATTCTCATTCTTTTTATTTTTCTCCCTACTACCTAATCATTCTGTCATTTACATTATAGTTATTCTTTATCTATACACGCTCTGTTTCCCAGACTCTGCCAAAACAGTCGCCAATCTATTGTTTCCAGTCCATTAATGTTAACACTTTATCCACCTCACACTTCTTGCCTCACTTACACCTTTGTCTCGTATCGTATCTACTTGGTTCTTGTTTTTTTTAAGTCAATTCGGCCATTTTGATGAAATAATCTAATGGGATTTTTTTCCCGTATGATTTCCTTTGTGTGCGTCTGCCGTCTGACGAGAGGACACGGTGTTTAGATTCTTCAGCCAACATTGTTTCTCGGGGATAAAGTTAGAAAGGTCAAGGTCACAGCTGAAACAACAACAAACACCAGTCGACGTGGGTTGATTTCTCGCTCGAGTGCGGTGTGATTCTGTCTGTCATCATTGGTATAGTAATACTGTAAGTGTAAAGCTCCCCTGTAATGCTGAGTTAAGTTACAGAACATATTGTAGACTTCTCGTGTTCCGTGTCTTTCTCTTTTCAGGTTCATCGTCTACCTTGTATGGTTCACGGGAGAACTACTTGTATTCAGATTTTCTGATCAAACTTCGGGAAAGATGAAGTTTTAGAGATTGATTCTGTGTTATATATAATGTACAGTAGAGGCTCCGGGCTGGTAATGTGCGTGTCCCCAATACAATTTGACTCACTGAATAATTTACTCGTAGATGACCCATATTCCCGTCCACCACTCACTCTCCACACATACCTTCCTTCCACCACCCCCCTCCACACACCATCCACACCCACCAACGCCTTCCACACCTGCTAACGCCCTCCACACCTGTCAACATCCTCCACACCTGCCAACGCCCTCCACCACCCCCACACCCTCCACCACCCCCACACCTCCACCACCCCCTCCACCACCCCCACCACCCCCTCCACCACCCCCCACCACCCCCTCCACCACCCCCCACACCCCCCACCACCTTCCACACCCTCCACCACGTTCCACACCCTCTACTCCCCTCTCCTAATCCGTCAGTATCCTCGAAACATTCTTGGCAAGTTTACCTACTTGAAAAAAAACTTCCACATTACTTGAAACACAACAATGGCAACTCCCACCCTCACACTACCACATCCACCACTCGTACCTCCACCACCTCTCCCAACACCCTTACCACCCACCACCACTCTCTCCCCTTCATCATTACCACCAACACTTTTACCACCACTCACCACCACCCTATTTCCCTCACCATTACCACTCATCACCGCCTCTGTCTCCTTCACCATTACCACCAACACCTTCACCACCACTCTCACCACCACGACCCAAAATAACAGAAAATAGAGAAACACTATACTCTGTTTTACATTGTCTTAGGCAGTGGCACAGGAAGACCGTAATTCCGGCATAAGCCCTCGCCTTTATTTAAAAATCCCTCGGGAGAAAACCAAATTGCTGTTTGCAAAAATGTTCAGATCATGAGGCTGAGGAAGTTCCCTGTTGTTTTATTATGGTTGTTACGCGCTAGAAATATCCTCGTGTAAGTTTGCTGCATAAAACACTTGAAGGGAAGAAATAAGTGTTGGGGAGGAACGTCACAGTAACGATGTATTCCCCGGCGGATAAACAAAGCCAATTTGGTTGATAACATTGACAGATCTGGCGCGTAAAATTTCACGAACGAGGAAGAAAACGCGAGTAAGTGAAGCTGACAAGAGGAAGTGTGTGAGTGAGGGAAAAGTTGTGTAATACAGAGATGAATGGATGATTTATTGTAGTATACATCTCCACACACAGATAGGTTAAGTGGTTAAATATAGGAAATAATAACAGTTGCGCGAGTGATAAAAAACACAAACAAATGAAAAAATAAAAATATTAATAAACATAAATGAATAACCCGATAACGAATGGATATTACATTGATAAAAAATAAATAAATAGACACGACAATAGAAGAGAATTAATGAATATATAAATAAATTCAAACGCTGCAACAAGGCCTCTGATATACATTCTTTTTGGAGTGAAACAAAACAAAGGGGAAATAACGCGCTGTGACTTTGCATGCAAATGTCTTTTCTTTCTGAACATACACGAAGCTAGTGGTGGGTCGCGCCTCAAGCCTGTGGGCTACTGGTCATATTTCATCCCTTGGAAATATTGGCGAGATATTCCAGGAAAAAGTGCTGCTGTTGTGTACATATCATTAATATCTGTAAAATGATGAGATTCAGAAAACATATATATATACAATTTTTTTTTTTTTGCAATAGGTGAATAGTCTTACATGCACCCACATTTTGATACATACATCAGCACACACGCCCACGCTAATACACACACACACACACACACCCAACAGCCTAGTTCTAGCACGTTATAAGTTACAAGCACAGGTAGGAGTGTGTGTGTGAGTGAACGGTAGTATTTTACGAATGCTCGTATATGAGTGCATGTATGTGAGTGCTTGAGTGCTTGTTTATGTGTGAGACATCCACCTCTCCTCTCCTTGCCTGCCTTTATTGTTCTACATTATAATTACAGTTATTGCAGCCTGGTGTATCCTACTGCTCTGCCAGGTCGAGTTTGTTCGTGTTGTTACTATTTCTTTCGCTGTGCTTTTATCTTGTTTTTATTGTATGTTTATCTAATTTCTGAACTGTTCCCATATTCAGTGTTTTGCTTTGGTTCGTGTCTGTAAATTTTAAGTTCTTTATTGTTATTGTCTGTCTTTTACGTTCAATATGTTTTTACGTTTTATTTTGCTGTTGTCTAGTACTGTATATGCGGTTAAAGATTTTAGTTGCTGAAGTAGATAAATTGAAAGACTTTACCTGCTTGTTAACAGTGACTTATATATATTACGTGTGTGAAGTATGGGTCGTGGTATTCCTGTTATACTTCTTCCTCTTCCTCCTCCTCCCTCTTCCTCCTCCTCCTCCTCCTCCTCCCTCGTCCTTCTTTCTTCTTCTACCCATTTTCCTTCTTCTGTTGTATCCTCTCCCTCTTTTTCTTTTTCCCTCTCATGTAATTTCTTCTTCTCATCCCCCCCTTCCCTTTTTTACCTCACGCCTCATACATCTCCTTCCCCTATTCTACTGTTTCTCTCGTACCCACATTTTTCCCCCTTTTTGCCTCATCCATTGTCATTTTTTTTCTCTGTTCTCTTGTGTTCTTACCTTCATCTGCCTCTTTCCGCCTCCTTGTCTCTCCTTTCTCCCCTGCTTTCTCCTTTTTTTTTTGTTCTTTTAATTTTCTGCGTCCCTATTTCCTCCCTTCTCCTGTTCTACTTTACTCTCAGTTCCCACCCCTTCTTTTTCTATCATCTGCACCCCTTCCATGTTCCATCCCTTACTTCCGCCACTCTTCTTCTCCACAGCTTTCTCCCCTGCTCCTCTCTCTCTCTCCCTCCCCCCTCCCATTTTCCTCTCTGTCCTCCTCCCCCTGTCCTCCCCTCCTCCCCTCCTTGGCCTTCCTTCTTCCCCAGGCGCCCACCACAAAACCTCTTCTCACCCAGGTCATGTTGGGCAAGATCAGCTGCTGTCGGGCGGAACTCTCGGCGTTAAATTATATAACAAAAGGCCGGAGAGCCCGCATGGCGTGTTATCAAGGAGTTATCACGACCCGCGCCACAGTCTGGGGAGAAGCCCGATGGACTCACAAAATTATTCTGGCTGATAAGAGGATGAGACTCGACTATAATGTAATAACGTTACATTATCCTGCTTGAGAATTCTTATTTTATTTTGGTAGCGCACTGGCCGAGCTCGTGTGTGTGTGTCAGGGCGGGACTAGAAGAGCGGGGGGGGGTGTACCCTGAGGACGTCGAGAGAAGCTGGTTTGAGTGACAGGTTTAGTCCATGTTGACATTATTGGTTTAGAAAAGTAGGTTCGTGCAGATCGACGGTCGACATCCGTAGAGAGAACGTTCACTGAAGAATTTGGATGATTTTTCCCCCACCTCTTACCCCCGCCGTGTGCAGTTCTGTATCTTCCAAGAAAAAACAAAGAAGGGGAGGGAATCACGCGGAATAAAAATGAACCCCATAGGCCTAACGTATCGCGTGAACAGAAGACACTGGCGGTAACATCTTAATACAGACAAACCGACAAGAGTAACAAACATCATAGTGTTGTGTTGTTCGCATCTAGATTCATTAATAATGTGTCCCGGATAACCGTATCTACAGCACTCTCTAATATTAACTCTGTCCTGGAGGTTATAGTTTGCGTACGATGAATGAAGCCACACCAGGTCACGAGAGAGGAGAGGGAGGTAGCAGAGTATTTGGTGAGCTGCTGCAATAGTTCTTGAGCCTCAGTATAAGGTTACCTTCAGTATTAGGTGAGCTGTTTCAGTAT